TAAAAGTTAAAATTTTAATTATAAAATTATAAAAACTTTTATAATAAAAGTTGTTTATAATAACTTAATTTATAATTTGTATTAAAATTATTGAGTACATATTCTTAGAATTTTTAAAAGTTTGTTTATGATTGAAAATAAAATCTTTAAAAATCGGAAATTTTTAAAAATTTTTTAAATTTTTTTAGTTTATAATCAACTTAAATTTTTTTTTATAAAATATAAAAATTAAAATAAAAAAAAATATCAATTTTCAATAGGTAGTTATTATATCAAATTATTATTTAAAAAAAAAATTAAAACAAACTATAGTTAATTTTTTTTACAAACTTTGAGTAAGAATAACTCAATGATAAAAATTTTCTTAAATCTACAGAATTAAAATAAAAAATTTTTATTGATTTTAGATGAGTAGTTACTATGATATCCTCGTTCAAAATATAAATTATAACAGAAAATATTATGATTGATCCGAAAATAGTGCTGCTCACTTTACTGACAATCATTTCACTTAGCCGACATCACGTAGGGGTAGGTTTAGCGTTTTATTAATTGCAGGTATATATTTTCAGTAAATTATCACTTGACGTGATGTCGACTAAGTGAGCAGTTGGTGAATAAGACGGATCCATCAGAAAGGGGATAGTTATATCAGTTTATTGAATTTCGCATGACTTTATCATGTGATCAGAAACAAGGCACAGATTTTATTTTCGTCTCAAGATGTCTACCTGCACGTCAATACATAATTAACCAGTACGCTATTTCGGGCAGTGTTGGTCATTTTAGGTCATAACTAATTTCATATGACAAATATGGTCAATATGTTATAAAGGTTATAGGTTTCAGGTACGCCAATGTACGTTGTTTCAAAAATAGGTTGAATGCGGACGCACATTCTAATTATAAGTAATCTAAACGCTAATCAAAGCCTAAATTATTTTTGATCACATGTTCTATAAAGATAATTTCGAATTTGTTATAAAAATAAACTATATTTAAAAAGTACATTTTCTCTTGGCAATGCTCAAACCCAATATATCATTTGCAACAGTAAGGTACATTTTACATCGGAAAATGTGATAATTCGGGAATTCCGTGGGCGTTAATTAGAGACCATATAAGCAAATTTTGAAGAGACCGCGTTTATACGGTAAGCGCGATTTTTGATTACGTATGCGACTGTTGGATATAGATTAAAACCATATCAAAATTAGAAGAATTTGTAATAAAAATCCCGTGATTTTGTAATTGGAGATTATTTTATTAAAACAGAAAAGCAATCTTATAGCCGAATTTTCTAATTTGATTTATTAACTATATAGTCAAACAATTCGGTATGTAATAATAAAAGACGACATTCATATGAGTTTTAGCCGATCATATTGCAAGACGAGGTATGATATAATAATTTTTTTTTAAATCTTTAGCCTGAAAATATTGGCTGAAATATTGTCGATAAAATTGCCTTTTATGTATAATAACACCTTAAAGAGCTGTTAGAATGGTTTTATCATATGGTTTTCTCCTTCAAACATTAACCATAAGGAGGTGTAAAAATGGTTTTATAATATGGTCTTTCTCTTTCTTTCAAAAATAACCATAAAAAGGTGTTAGAATGATATTTTGGATTAGTTTATTCAATTCTGCCGATTACTTGATTTCACGTTACAACTTGATCTTGTAATCCGATTGACTAAAACCTAAAACATAGCAGCTATCTTCATCCCTATCTTATTTAATGAAGATTATTATGTGATTAATACATACTTTAAAGTTAATTGGTTAAACGCCACTTTTTCTTTTATCTAGTCCCCCAAAAAATGTACGTACGTACATACGTATTTACCTACAACGCTAGATAGTACCCAATCATATGAGTACCCAAAGAGAAAAACTTGCTATCATGCTTATTTTGTGGCCAGTTTGTCCCCTGAGTGCTATCTAGAGAGAATCTGTTATCAAGTTTCAATTATATTATATGACAAGTTATCATAAACTGGTCACCAAATATAATTGAAAGCCCGATAACAGATTTTCTCTAAACAGCATTCAGGGACAAACTATAACTTAATTAATTAAAAGCCCGATGACAGGTTTTTTCTTGGTGGTACTCATATGATTTAAAATTGACAATGAAATTAATTAAGACATTCTACTCTGCAGCATAAATATGCTTAACTCCCATCCCCTTAAGCCAAAATATTGATGTTAAATCAGCTAATTACAATTAATTTAATCATTACGCGCCAAATATGTGATAATAGAGAGGGGTGTATAGCGATAGTTATTAAATGTTTTATGATTGTAAACAAGTTAATATCATATAATTGTTGATCGACCTTCTATTTAGACCCCTGAACGTAATTGTATCTAATCGAATGATATTCGATGTTATTATGTTATTAACATACCCATATTTGGATATTTGGAGGTCACCCGAATTTCGAATTTTCGATTTAACGACAAACTACAATGTGCTTTTTTTACACATCATCATATTCGTTTATACTATAAATAGTCTACAAATATATATGTACAATGGCATGCTAAAAAAAAAATATAATATTCCTAATAAATAAATTGATTTTTTTTTTTATTACTTTTTTTATTTATTTATTTATTAATTTGTTATTTTATTATTTTCGTTTATGTATATTGAATTAATAAGTAGGATTATTAATATTAATAACCTTATTAATAATTATAATAAAATATTAAGACATACTAAACTATAAAAGTTAAAATATTTTTGTTACATACTGTACAGTAAATAAACAATGTTGATGTCAGATGTTTCGGGTAGTTGCCTTCCCTTCCCGAAACTTTTTTAAATCCCAATTAGAAAGGTTTTACAAATTGTCAAATTTCAGCGTTACATATTACGTATTACGTACTATACCATTATTCCGACAATCATGACAACGACACAAATATAGGTAATATTCCGGAAAGACACTGGGCGAAAACTAACAACTTCGTGCGTACGTACTTGTTCGTAAAGGTCGAGATTATCCGGTTAATCAGTTATTAATAAACCGTCGGGTCGGTTTAAAATTTACCCGCTGATTTTCCAGCTGAGTATTTTCTCCGAATGATGCAATATTACTTACATCAAAATCTTGAGTCACAATGATAATAAGTAGGTAGGAACGTATCTAAATGGGTGTCGACAAGCGAAAACAGGGAATTTCGATTTTTGCCGGCTCCGCTTTCTGATCCGATTCCTGATAAATTTAAATTAAGCACGACATAAATTATATGGTGTGTTAAATCACATTTTTTCGGGGTTTTATTTGTAAAATAATTTCGGAAAACTCACAATTCCCTGTTTTCGCTTGTCGACACCCAAATGTGCATATGTGCATACCATACGTACGTACGTACGTACGTACGTAAATGATTCTAATTTTTTCCACTGACAATATTAGACACGTAATATTTGTTTACAACGTTAACGAAACGTATTATTGCAAACACGTAATATTGCAGGCCAATAAATAAATTTTGAAATATATATATAATTAGTCATTAGTCATCAGTTTTGTGAAAAACGCATGAGAAATTAGCAATTGAAATTTTGCACAAATGATCTTTTATTATATTATTTATTATATGTTATTTATTGTATACCGATACCATATTACAATAAATGATCTACAATTATATTTATTGTATCAATCGATCAATCATTCATTCCGCAAGTTTACTGATCATTAACTTTTCTAGTAGGTAAAATCTATTATAGGCAAAAAAGTAAATATTGTTCAGGAGTATCGGGTGTGACAAAAACATTAGAGCACGGGTGTGCCGTAATTTTTAGTAAAGAATCACGTGTAGAATAATGCTATGCAATGTAATGCATGCTATTTACACTATTTATAAGTAGTTACCCAAATTATCATTATTCGTACATAAATACGTATTTTCATCGTTTATATGTATATGCTAAAATATTTAGAATATCGGAAAGATAAAAAAAAAAGGTCCAACAATGAAAATTATTTATTATATGCGGGTTTTTTTTTCCGAAAAAAATTTTTTTTTATCACATTGAACTTTCATTTAAAAGGCATAACTCTTTAAAGCTCGAATGGATAAATTGATTTCTTGTTTTTTTTTGGATTTAAAAAAATACCGATTCTCTTTAGTATATTTTGGATTTAAAAAAATACCGATTCTCTTTAGTATATATTGCCACCTAAAAAAAAAACCAAATAATAAAACCTCATTTAATTTTACCCACTTTCCACGACCACGAATATGACAATAAATAATAACACTGGGTTTTCAACAGATAGTCCTATTACTCACGTTAAAAGTGGTTCAAATGGACTTCACTCTGAACTTTCAAACTTAAAAAATAATAAAATAATAGATTTCGAAACAACCATTTTAAATCATAAACCATCTGGTTCAAATAGCCCAAAGATTCAAGTTTATTTGCATCAAAATGACCATCACAGCTCTAATATTTCTAATAGTGCACAAACGCTAGCAAGTAGTGACTCATTTATATCAGAAGGTTTTTCGCGGCATAACGATTCTTCAACTCCAACGACTCCTGAATTATATCAACCACGTTCTCAAGAATATAATTCAAAGAAAAAAAAAAGATTTAGTGAAGGTTCATTTTTATCAAATGGTATACAATGGTTGATAAAAACTCGACAAAGTTCTCCTTCAAGAAATCATAAATCTCATTCTTACCATCATCAAAGTGATTCCGATGCTTTCAAAACTTTGGCTTTTTCTGATACTTTTCCTTCAACTTCACATAAAAGTATGCCAACTTTTCCATTATCATTTGAAAGAGCTCGAACTTGTAGCAGTTTAGGTGATAAATCAAGTACTACGGTTAATTCTTTTAATACAAACCATAGTTCTTATGATGATTATAAGAAACAAATTTTTACTATTGAATTCTCGGATTCTCATAATTTTTCTGGAAAACTTAAATCTAATAATAATACTTTGACAAAAATTCCAAATCAAAAATGTCAAAAGAGACTTTCAAAAATTTTTAAAAAATCAAAGAAACAACATCCTTTACTCGCAACTGCTATTCAAGCTTTAGAATCAATGAAATATAATGATGCTATTGATTTATACTCTCAAGTTTTAATGAAATATCCTAATAGTTATTCTATTAGATGTGATAGAGCTTATGCTTCTTATCAAGTTGAAGATTGGGAAAGAGCTCTTTCTGATTTAAATTTTGCTATTTTAAAAAAACCAAGGAATCCTCGAGCTTATACTTTACGTGGTGAAATTTATAGATTATTAGAATCTTTTAAAGAATCTTTAATGGACTTTAATCAATCTTTAAAATTACAACCAAAAAATATTCACGCTTTAAGAGCTAGAGCTGAAGTTTTTTATTCAATAAATCATTATAATGATGCTATACTTGATTTAAATCTTGCTTTAGAAATTGAACCTTGTAACGTTTATACTATAAGTAGACGTGCTAAAGTTTATTGTTCACTTGGTTTTTATGGTGCTGCTTTATTAGATTTAAATAAAGCTTTGGAAATTGATGGTTCTCATGCCGCTTCAATTTTAGCTAATCGTGGTGAAGTTTATCAAGCTATTGGACGTAATGATTTAGCTTTATTAGATTTAAATGAAGCTATAATACGTGGTGAAAATGGTGAAAGTGTTTTAGCACTTGAACGTCGTGGTTTTATTTATAGAACACTTGGTAGAGAAGATGATGCTTTAACAGATTTTGAAAAAATTCTTCAAATTCATCCAAGAAGTTTTATTGCTCATAAAAATATTGGAGAAATTTTATATAATTTGGGTGAATACGAAGATGCTTTAGTACATATGAACATTGCTTTACAATTACATTCTAATAATGAAACTACTTTAATTAAACATCGTGGTGAAATTTATCAAAAACTTGAATATTATGAAGATGCTATAACAGATTTTAATTTAGTTTTATCTATTAAACCTGATGATTTAGAAACTCTTAAAAATCGTGGTGAAGCTTATAGATTACTTCAAGATTTTGATAGAGCTGAAAATGATTTTACAAGAGTTTTAATAATTGATCCAACTGACGTTTTTTCATTAACAAGACGTGGTGAAGTTTATAGAATGAAACGAGAAGGATTAAAAGCTTTACAAGATTTGGATGAAGCAATTAATCAAGATCCTGATAATATAATGGCAAGAGAAAGTCGAGGTGCCGTAAATAGAACTTTTAGACGTTATGAAGAAGCATTAATTGATTTAGATGAAGCTATATTTATTAATCCTGATACTGTATTTGCTTTGGCAAATCGTGGTAGTGTATACTATATGTTACAACGTTATAATGAAGCTTTAATCGATTTAAATAAGGCTTTAACTATTGATCCAAAGCATGTATTTGCGTTAGAAACACGAGGTACATTGTATAACATGATTGGAAAACGTGGTGAAGCATTATTAGATTTAAATACTGCTATAGAAGTTGATCCAATAAATGTTTGGGCTTTAACTTATCGAGGTGAAGTTTTATCAGCCTTAGGAAAAAACGAAGATGCATTACATGATCTTAATAAAGTATTAGAAGTATTACCAGATTGGGGATATCCATTAGCATTAAGGGGTGCAATTTATCGAACTTTAAAGTCATATACCAAAGCTTTATTAGATTTAGATAGAGCTATCGAGAATATAAGGTTTGTTTTGAAAAAAATATATATATATTTTATTTGATTTTACTGTTTAATAATTTAATTAAATATTAATATTTAAATAACATTGATTTTTTTTTTAACGTTTATAGGGATAAAGCATTTCATCTTGAACATTCTACCATAGCATTATATAACCGAGGAGCTGTATATAATACTTTGGGAAAACATGAAGAAGCATTGATAGATTTAAATAGGGTTTTATTTAGAGATCCACATCATATGCCTGCATTATGTGAACGAAGTATAACTTACGAAGCATTAGGAAGAACTGATAAAGCACTAGCAGATATAGATCATGCATTGAGAATTGATCATTCAAACGAACATGCAATTGCTCTCATGAAAAAATTGAAAGATGGAAAAAAATAAATGAATACCGATAATAAAAAAAAATGTATATACGTAGATAGTATTTGTATATTATAATAGTAGATTATAGTTTTCTTTTCTTAAGTAAAATGATTTTGGGAATGGATGGATGTCTTGGTAGTATGGGTATATTATAAACCCTCACGTGTATTTTCTGAATTTTTTTTTTTTTCTTTTTTCAATAATTTGTAATTATTTTTTCCATATTAGTTTTTTTCTTAATGACATAACAAATATATTTGAAATAGATTATGCAACTTTTCAAACATAGTAATACGTAATATAAAATATTGATAATAAATTAAAAATTAAGAATCTACAAATGATCTACAATGTTCTTCAATTACGTATAACAAATATTTTGATAAAAATATTTTCATTGATAACAAATATTTCATTGATAATATTTCAATTGTAATGATAATGATAACGTATCTTGATAACATCTACAAACATGATTCAAACATGATTGATGTATAGAGGATATCGATCCTCATATTTACATACATAATAAATAAAAATACAAATTTCTTCAAATGGCTTTATCATAAAAATAGGAATGTAAATGCGTAATTTGTCCTCTTCTAAATCTATCACTATCACTAACCATATCATTAAAACTCATAAAATGAAACCCTCTTTGTTCTTAATGAGGATCATTTATGATTTGATAATTATTTAATTGGTTCAAACAATTATTTAGTTTAAGCATTCTACGTACAAGTTTTCAACTGGCTAAAGTTTGTACGCATTAGGATAAATAATAGGTTTAAATTCTGAGCACTACATAATTAACTGCGTGGTATATATGTACGCACATTGTACCATATTATGTACGTATGTACATATACTGTATATGTATTCCGTATAAAATTTGACAAAAACTGCCGCAGGGAATACATTTAATGCCCTCATAAATTAGTAATAGGGTTAGTGCCCTTTATTTAGATTTAAATTTAGATTTAAAAAAATTATACGTACGTATTTAAAAGTTTATTTAATTTAAAAATAAAAAAATTGGATATATATGTATTTATTATTGAATTATGTAATTAAAGTTCTGCGTATAATTTCTAGATCGGACCTTCTTTATAACGAATTCTGAATACAACAAACGGTAAAATTTCAAATTTTTATATTAATAAAAAGTGTAGTTAGCTCTTAAGAAAACATATAGTAATTTTTTTTATAAAGGAACTCTTTTCAGAACCATTCTGGTTCGTTTTTACCATTTATTGATATATTTATGGTAGTGATTTTTCTTGTCTATCATTTTTTAGTATTAGTTGAAAAATTTTGAATGTTTACGAGTGTCATTTCGGTTTGGAGTGAAAATTTCGCCGTGGTGAAGTATTTATCCTTCTGACCCAACTGAATTAAAAAAGATTGAATCATTTTGGGAAAACTTGAAAAACAAATTAATTTTCAAATTACTGAATTTAAAATTACTAATCCAATTAAGAACTACACGTACGTAGAAGTATAGGCATATGGGTAATTATTTTTGAATCTAGACTAAAATATTATTACGTCATATATAAAATTGGTCCGGTTCAAAATGATTACCCATATATCATCATTGAAACGTATCAGCACAATATACGACAATCATCATTGACAGCTCACTTACGTACATAAGGTTAGAGTTAATGATGGTTGACGCAACCATGTGATGCTAATTGGCACATGCTTTTACTTATAAAAATAAACATCAATTTTGATTTTTTATAAGCAATAGCATGTGACAATTAGCATCACGTGGTTGCGTCACCCATCATTAGTTAGAGTCTGCGCATTTTATTAGTCATCGTTTATAGGTATGTCGGCTAAATGAACTGTCGACGAACCATTACTGTATCAGCATAATCCCGACAATTATTTTAAATGATATGGTATATTGACTAAAATTATCTTGAAACTCACGGCATAGGTTGCTACAGAAAATAATACCCGTCTTGTTAGTTTTTTTATACCCCAGAACTTTAGTCAGTTATATTACGAAAAATATGGGACAAGCTACGTTAACTCCAATCTCTGAATAACTCGAATTACTCATTAAAAAATATTACCGTATTTTCGCGAAATAACGCGCAGGGGTGTAATTTCGAATTTTGGTCTAAATTAAGCTTAATTAGGGTCAAAATTCGAAATAACGCTTATGGGCGTTATTCCGCGGAAATGTGGTACCGTTATTTTGAAAATTGCGTCTCCTAAAAATAGTATAGGCGATTTAGAAATAACGCGCATCCCTATACATTAATATTACATTACGTATATGGTTTAATTTAATTTATTAAAACTGACAGTTATCCGTCAAACTCATATGATTATGAAAATGTTTTTTTCATGTATTAATATGTAATCATGTTTATTCAAATTAAACTCAGCCTACCGCTACGAATCATGATCGTAAATTGCCGGATAACACCGACGGCAAATTTGACAAATGGCTGATACGTGCCGCTTTGTGGCACACGCCAAATTACTGCCAATAAATCTATATAGTATCCAAAATAGCGTGCAGATGCTCGCTATTCCGAAAATTTACGATTTATCAAAATATATATTTTTATTCGCATATAATGCTGTATGTAGTAAAAATAATATTGAACCGACAATTTTATTATTGAGACATTTATAAAAGATGCAATGGAAAATCCGCAAAAACTGTGTTACTTGCAATTATACAATATACGTATCAACAGGAAAATTACTATAACTATCACTACAATTTTTTACAATTCTGTAATAGAACACACATTCTAATTCAAATAGTTCTTGTACCATTATTAATAAAAGAAAAATGATGAAAGTTAAAAAAAAAAAAAAAGGTACGTAAAAAAGGATGACCGAAAAAAAAAAATCATCGCAAAATATTAATAAAAATAGGGTTATTTTCTTTTAAGCATTTTAACCAGAGTTCTCATTTTAAAAATCAGTTTCAAAATTATAATTCCAACATATTATTTTTGCATATCAATTTTTGTACACTCCCCTGACATAAGTCACCGGATTTTTTTGGTAACGTATGACGATCATTTTTTTTTGCAGCAAATTCTCAACAAACTACATATTAATTCGGGTCAAAATTTTTTTATTTAACAGCTACATATATAAATTTTATTTA